GGAACACAACAGAGAGTCCCTGATGGAGCAGCAGAAAGGTGGGGTGTAGAACTCAAATTCTAGTAAGAAGACCAGACTTAATGGTCTGACTGAGACTGGAGGAACCCCGGAAAGCACAGCCCCTGGATTCTCTTATCAGCCCACAACTAAAACAATTTCCGAGGTCAACTCTTCAGACAGGGATTGGCTTGGATTGTGGGACATAAAGGGTTACTAGTGAAGGCTGTGCTTCTAAGCCCAAGTAGATACATGAGACTAAATGGGCAGCTCCTGTCCAGAGATGAGATGGGAAGGCAGAGAGGGTTAGGAGCTGGTTGAATGGACATGGGGAATCAGAGGTGGAAAGGAGGAGTGTGCTGTCACAGTATGGGGAGAGCAATTAGGGTCACATAACAATGTATGCATAAATTTTTGTATGGGACACCAACCTGAACTGTAAACTTCTTCCAAACTACAACAATAAAATATATATATATAAAAGACAGGCCTGGCAATTTGCTTCTGAAAGGTCACAGCCTTCGAAACCCTATAGAACAGTTCTCCTCTGCACACATGGGATCTCCATGAGTCAGAATCAATGATAACTAACAATAACAACAAAGTTAACAAAAGACATGCAATACCTCCCCACTTAAAATTACAAAACATTGCTGAGAGAAATTAAAATAGACCTAAATACATGTTTCTGGAATGGAAGACTCAATATTGTTAAGAAACAAATTCCCTCAAAATTGATTAATAGGTTCAGCTCAAGCTCATTCATTCCTAGCAAGATTTTTGTAAGAAATTGACAAGCAGATTGTAAAACTCATAAGAACATGAAGAGTGCCTAAAATAGCCAAAGCAGTGTTGAAAAAGAACAAAGTGGAAGGACTCACACTCTATGGCTTCAAGACTACAGGAATCAAGACAACGTGGTAATGGCATAAGAATCTGCAAAATATGAATGGGACAGAATAGAAAGTCCAGAAATATACTCATATTTACACAACTATTTGATTTTTTTTACAAAGGCACCGAAGTAAGCCAATAACCCATCGCCATTGAGTCAATTCCGATTCAGAGTGACCCTATAGGACACAGTAGAACTGCCCCATAGAGTTTCCAGGGAGTACCTGGTGGATTTGAGCTGCCGACTATTTGGTTAGCAGCCGAGCTCTTAACCACTGCGCCACCAGGGCTCCTCTAAGTAAGCCAATAGGGAAAGGAAAATCTCTTCAACAAATGGTGCTGAAATAACTGGATATCCATATGGAACAAAATGAATGCTAACCCCTAACTCACAGAATACACAGAAATTAATTCAAGCTGGATTCTATGATTTCACTTACATAAAGTTCCAGAACAGAAAAAAATTAATCTGTAGTGGAAAAAATATGAGAACTGGCTGCCACTGGAGGTAGTAGTTGCAGGGATTGACTAGGAAGGCGCATGAAGGGACTTTCACGGGTGACAGTGATGTTCTCTATCTTGATAGAGGTTTGAGTTACACAAATGTATACGTTTGTCAGTATTCAGCAAATGAATACTTAGGATTTGGCCATTTGCCTGTATGTAAAAGAAAATTCTGGCCTACCAAATTGTTTTCAGCAGGGGTTGGCAGCCTATGGCCTGCAAAGACTGAAGTAATGAGGTATGGCAGAAAGAGCCTAGACTTGAAAGCCATTCAGATGTAGGTTTGGGTCCTGGCTCGATCATTAGGCTGTATGACCTTGGGCAAATTACTTCTCTGTTTCCCTATCTATACAAAGACAACAGGAGCACAATGTGTGGCATATAATAAGTACTCCAGAAGTGGAAGCTAATAATAAAGTGACACTTGAGATGACTTCGGGTCACAGGGCTAAAGGTGGTATCACTGCACATCTCACAGACACCATTCCAACTAAGGTGTTAGCTTACTAAAGGATCTTCCCTGGGATATTTGTATTTTCATAAGGTCCCCTGAAGGTTAAAATCTTTTTTTAAAAAAAGTGCACCCTCTCCTTCCCAAAGAGTAAATGAATGAAGACTTGGACCAGTGCTTGGGGAAATTGGTCCTGATTGCCTCTCAATTCCCTGAGCTACACTCACCTCAGGGTCTATGCCTTCTTCAAAAGAGCGGATGCTGAAGGCCATCCCTTCAAACTTGTGGTCCACCTGAAGCACAGCCAAAGCCAGCTTGGCCACCGTTAGATTTGCTGTCCTCCCAGAAAACTCCATCTTGTGACCAGCACGATCGATTATCCTCAGAATTCTGCAAGGAACCACAGATAGAGAAGAGTATTCCTACCTTTTTGATGCACAATCCATCCTCCTTACAAGATTTACTCAATAAGAGTTTTCTTTGAGATTTAAACGGTTATCTGTGACATTGTTTAGGAATTGTTGGATAAGAGTGCTGGCTTTGGAGTTAGACAGGCCTCGGTCTAAATCTTAGCTTCTCTAATATCTAATTGTGTAGGCAAATGAAATCACTTCAGAACTTCAGTTTCCTCACCTGCAAAGGTGGAGGCAATATTAGCACTGATTTCAGAAGATTGTTTTGAAGATTAAATGAAACCATTGCATGCAAAGCCAGATCCTGAAAGACCTCATAAGCCCTAGTAAGAAGTTTGGATTTTATTCTAAGTGTAATGGAAAGCAAGAGAATTAAAAGCAAGATAATGACAGGATCTGACATGCTTTGAAAGCTCACCCTGGCTGCTATGTAGAAGATGGACCATAGAGGGGCAAGAGTGGAGGCAGGAAGACCAATTAGCAGGTAATTGTAGAAGGTGGCACAGTGGTCAAGAGCTCAGCTGCTAACCAAAAGGTCGGCCATTCAACTCCACCAGCGGCTCCTTGGAGATCCTATAAGGCAGTTCTACTCTGTTCTATAGGGTCACTATGAGTCAGAATTGACTCGACAGCAATGGGTTTGGTTTTTGGTTTCTAGGTAAGATATATTGGGGCTAGGACTAGGATTGTGGTGGTGGAGATGGGGATGGGGAGGCATAGATGGATTCCAGGAATATTTAGGGTATTGTACTGGGTTCAGTAGTGTCCTCCCAAAATTTATGTCGTTCATAGAACCTCAGAATTTGACTTTATTTGGAAATAGGGTCATTGCAGATATAACTAGTTAAGATGAGGTCATGCTGAAACAGGGTAGGCCCTTAATCTAATATGACTGGTGTCCCCATAAGAAGAGGAGGAGAGAGTTACACAAAAAGGATGCCATGTGACGACAGAGGCAGAGACTGGACTAATGCCAAGGAATGCCAAGAATTGCCAGCAACACCAGAAGCTAAGAGAAAAGCATGGAACAGATTTTCCCCTAGGGCCTTCAGAGAGAGAGTGGCTTCTAGCCTCCAGACTGTGAGTGAATACGTTTCTGTTGTTTTCAGCCACCTAGTTTATAGTTATTTGTTACGGCAGCCCTAGGACACTAACACAGGGATTTTAAAAAATGCACCCACAACGCCTCATACAAGACTTAATTATTGATTGGCTGTGAGGTAAAGGGAAGAAATCAGTATTAGTCTCAAATTTTTTTGCTTGAGCACTGGGTGGATGCATGCTATACAAATGGGGAACACTGGAGGAGCACCAGGTCTGGGGGAATAGATCGGAGGTTTAGTTTAGGGTAACTATTCATTAAGGAGCCCTGGTGGTGCAGTGGTTAAAGTGCTCAGCTGCTAACCGAAAGGTCAGAGGTTCGAACCCACCAGCCACTATGAGGAAGAAAGATGTGGCAGTCTCTTTCTGTAAAGATTAAACCCAAACCCATTGCCTTCTAGTCAATTCTGACTCATAGTGACCCTATAGGGCAGAGTAGAACCTCCCCATACGGTTTACCAAGGAGCAGCTGGTAGATTCAAACTGCCGACCTTTTGGTTGGCAGCCAAGCTCTTAACCATTGCACCACCAGGGCTCCCTGTAAAGATTAACCAAAAAACCAAGCCCATTGCTGTCGAGTCAATTCTGACTCATAGCAACCCTATAGGACAGAGTAGAACTGCCCCATACTGTTTCCAAAGAGTGGCTGGTGGATTTGAACTGCCAACCTTTTGGTTGCTGGCTGAGCTCTTTATCATTGCACCACCAGGACTCTTCTGTAACGATTACAGCCTTGGAAACCCTATGGGGCAGTTCTATTCTATAGGGTTGCTATGAGTCAGAATCGACTCCACGGCGCTCAGCACTAACTGAAAGGTGGGTGGTTCAAACTCACCAGCTGCTCTGCGGGAGAAAGATGTGGCAATCTGCTTTCCTAAAGATTTATAGCTTTCGTCTGGAGCAAGGGAGAATGAAGAAAACCAAAGACACAAGGGAAAGATTAGTCCAAAGGACTAATGGACCACAACTACCACAGCCTCCACCAGACTGAGTCCAG